CTTTCGTGGCCCTATGGCTTCTAAATGGATAATCAATTGGAGATGGTTTTTACGATGGGCTTCTGTGATGTCGTTTGCTATCCTGATTTTAGTCCAGGGCTAGTCCCATTCTATTGAACCAGCGAAAAGTAAGGCAAACTCTTATCTTTTGTTACTCTTATGACCGGCCTTTTATCATCTATTACTCCTAGCTTATATCATTGTTTCCTGCCCTTTTTCGTCGACATGCGTTGACAGTTGTCAAGTTCGAGCCTTCGGAGGTTCATTTACGGAAAGTGCTGAGTTCGGGTTTTCATATTACTGAAAGGGTGTTTCATACATCTAGTCACCATCACCTACTGGCTCATTGGTCGTAACTCTTGGGAACAACAATCGATTGTAAATGTTACGATGTGAGGACTTAGTATTACGTGAACCACGTAATTCATTATTCATGGAATATTCATAACATAGCAGCGGTATGAGTAGTCGCTCCGTTTGAGCATTGGAAAGGCAGTACGGCAGTATTGATAATGTCTAGACAGGTGTGGAGGTGAAGGGTTCCTGTGGAGGTGAGGGGTTTTTTCTCCATGTTGGTTATGGAAGTGCTGTTGTCCCGTTGCATCTGTAGTAGGGCATTTTTCATTGTAGCGCACAAAATTGGGGTAGGATCGTCCTGATGCATCTCCTACCCGATTGAGGAGTCTGTTTTGACCGCAAAATCGGTTCCGTTCCTAGTCAAATATTGTATTTATGAGCTGTTACCTGTCGCCCTTTCTCAAATAGTAATTAGCGAGTGGATTCTGAAGAATTCCGTCAATGCGGGTAATCACCTCGGCTCGTATTCATTCAAGCGTGCAGCTAGAATTCCATTTACTGAAGAATTCATGGAATGAAGGCTTTTTATGTGTCATCCTCTATTGATTTTCACACGAATAATAGCGAAACCAGGGAGCAGGGGTGAGATAGGGCCGCGCACGTAGCGTTTTACCGCATGGGCCTGGGGTCAAATCGCAGATTAAAACCCGCTAAGGCTGCCCAAGTCCCCCATACCTCAGTAACGGACAACTGTTTGCTATCAGATTTGTCTAGGAGGATAAAAACACTGGCTGGTGTATTGGCTGGCTCTGCGAGTCTTTGTATAGAACAAGTACGCTTTCAAAACGCCACTGTGATTTTGAAGGGAAGTCGAATACGGGGCGCA